CGGAAATCATTTGTTCTGCAGCTGATGAATTTGCTTACAGAAGGAAGATGACCAGTCTAGATAGAGGAAACCAATTTCAACGTTTTTTGTGGACGAACCAGAGGGCGATCACTTCGTAGCACGCGGGCACCATGTACCATGGCGAATAGGAGGGGCCAGAATCTGCACGTTGTCGGCGCCATGACGAACAAACGCTTGATAGCGTTCTCCGTTTTAAGAGACAGATATAACAAGCATAGGTGTGCACAGTGGTTGCGTCAAGTGTTTGATGCGAACGGTGACTCAATACTCGAAAGTTGCATTGTGATTTGCGACAATGCGTCATGCCACACTCATCTGGAAATAGTATTCATGGAGGAACCACACCTCACTGCGAAGGTTCTGCGACTTGCTCCATACTCTCCATCGCTGAATCCCACCAAGGGTATCTGGAGTATTATGAAGGCATACGTGAAGAAAGCAATGAGAGCACGGTATGCCGAGAGGCTCCGAGGTGATCCTGCAGGGGTTCTCAGCAAACATGAGTGGCAATACAATTTCTGGAGACGGTGCTTTCTGAAGTCCAAACATACATGACTGAACACCAGTGCAAACAGATGGTGCAGCATATCGAATGGAATTAAGGTCGAGTCATTCATTTGGCTGTCCTGTGAACGATTTCTTGGTTATTAAACTACATGCCTGTAAATTTCATTGTTATCACTTTGTTTTCGTGTGCGGTTATAGTACATGTTCCGCTTGAAACGTGCAATAATAATTTCGGTCAAACATCCAGACGCTCGCTCAAAGGTACTGCGCGTTATCGTGTAGCACACTCGTTGCCGTTTCTGCGCAGGGAAACGATCATGCTAGAGCTTGCGTACTTGCATTGGATAGAAAGAAGGTTGCGAGGTAATCAATGATTGTAGATGACATTTCGTTATTGCTTGTGTTTGAAAATGAGACGGATAAAATATTGGACACGAGCGAAGCAGCGTGGAACACTGAAATATGCGTACATGGCTGTAATAGGTAGAGGGTGATGACACGTTGGTCGGTTGTCTAACGAGTCATAGCAGTACAGGTGGCTTGATGTCGCTCGAGATCACGCAGTGGTGATCGATGCGGGAGCACAGAGGCAATAAGGAAAGCACAAGCAAAGATGTCCACGGGCGCAACGGAAGCATTTTCCAATGGGCAGTATTCCGTTGCAACCAGCATTCGAACAGATCATGGTGCTTAGAGAATTTGATGTGGCAAATAAGTCGTATTCGCTTGGGGAACACGCTTTTACTCCTCAAGTAGTTGTACCTACGCAGGTGATATATGGTTATACATTGCGCAGACCGGTCTTTCTGTCGATATAGCAGTCACCCAAGCTGCCAATGGAATCATACGTGAGAGTTGCTATTTGGTTCCTACTCGGCCAAGTGACGCGTCTCAGGTTATTTATGCAGTCAATGAGCGTGGACTCTGCAGTCGGATTGAAATACGACGGAATATCCCACTCCTCCTGGTGAGCAACTCACATTAAGCTTAGCTGTTTCCATCCCCTACTGAGGCAAGGCATCATAACAATCGGTCACGATGACAAGGACTGAAAGCGAAGTGCAGTCTGGTAGAAACAACAGCTGTGTGGATGCCGCAAAGAAGAGCAGCAGCTCTGAATGCCTCACGAAACACAGGCCGTGCGTCTTAAAATGCACGGACACTGCCGTCACTGCCTAACTAATAGTCCAAACAACTACATATAAATGTATATAAATATAAATATGTATATATAGTTATTTAACACGACCACAACACACGAGTAGCAAAACCTTTAAGCATTGTGAGTAGGGAAGCAATGTAGACTTTTCAACGTCTCAAGCAGACCTATCAATTCCCGATCCGTCGATACGCAAAAGAAGGAACATTCACGGGATTATACTATCGTTCCGGTCCCAACTGAACTTGAACTTGATTGTTCGCCATGGGTATGATTCTGGGCAAATACCGATAGCATTCCAAACCAGGTGTGTTCGGTTATCTTGGGCTCCCTGAACTGGGGTAGGGAATACCCCGCTGTGGCAAACTAATATATTCACACCTTGGCACCCCAGACCTACGTTATGCGTCGGACACATTTCCGTCGCTCGAATCCACTCTCGAAGGTACTCCAGCATCTGGCGAAACTGAGCCTGCTCTTCGCGTTTGCGCTGTTCGCGTACTCGACTGAGCCTCCGTAAAAGCAGGGAAGTCAGCACTTTGGACGCAACGCATAGTTGACCTCTCGATAGTCGGCGCAATCTGTTCGGTTACATTTCTTGATTACAGGCATGATGTTCGCTAAGCTCCAATTAGACGGGATGCCTTCTGTAGCCCAAATCTCTTGAATGAGTGTAGGTAATTTGAAAAAAAGATGAGTTCCTATGGTTACAAATAGTGCTAGGTAATTTGTCTGCAAAGTGAGCAACCCTTATATTCGGATACCGAAGAGGTGCTTGCACACCATGAAATAAATGAAACTTCGCCGGCACTTGTGGCCAGTGGAATAGCTGTTCCAAGTGCATTGCCCAACGTGCAAGCCGGCATTGATGATAGTGCATTGATGCAACGCTGGTTTCACACAGCACTTTATTTACATTGGTTGGTCAGACAAGAGAAAAATCTGGGGAAGTTCCTTGTGAGGGCCGTTTATACCATTTCCATGACACGCCGCGTCCACCAGCCTGCGCGATGTGCCATGATGAAGTGTTACAGTTCGGTGTTAATAGCCCTGCGTAGAGTTGCACCTAACATCAGGTAGAATTGTCCGGCGGTCTTCCCATAAGTTGAACACTTCGAGCAGAAATCCATCCGTCGATAATATGCCTAGTGAAAACAAAGACGATGTTGGCAGATTTGTGCAGGGCATTCCGGTTGTGTCCAATGTGCTTCAACATCTGGGAGTGGAGGGCTCTTTAGATTGGAAGTTTGCGAATTCTGTAAGGCTGCCTGATTAGTTGGAACGACAGGTTTGGATACGTCAAGCCGTATCCGGCGACGCTTTTTGGTGCCACAAAAACAGGGCGAATCTAACACACACACACACACACACACACACACACACAAGAGAGTGTTCAGAGTGGGGATGCTTACTTTTACTTGATTCGCTGTCCGTCATACAGCCTCACCAACATTAACTGATGGTGCTGTGATGAATCGGCGTCCACGATTGTCCCGGCAAAGTGCGTCGCCAGGAACGCCGAAGGTTTGTGCTCTAGAGGAATAAACCGTGAGCAGCACAGAGCTGTAGAAGGCGATCTCCTTAATCCATCCTTGCGAGTACCATAGTCATGCAGATCGCGGGTGTCGTGTTCATAGCTTCCAATCTACCAATCTGTGTGTTTGAACCCCCGGCGAGAACCATGATATCCATGCGACACTTCTTGCGGAATATTTCGCAGCTTTTGAATTTTGAGTAACCAATGGTTTTTTAAGGAAAGAGGAGTTTCAGGTAATAGGATTTCCTTTTGCAACGAAAGCAAGCTCATAAAAGCTATTGGTTTGTTGAAATGCGAGTTTGGAGGCTACAACACCCTTGGCCATTATGGTGTTTCGTCATCAACTGCGAAAGTAATGAGCGGCATTGCTCAGGTCCAGGTGGGTCTGCTACATTGATGAGACATTCATCCGATAACCATATGACAAGAATTCCACTACCTTCCATTTTAGACTAAGCGCCGTCTACCTACCGATCGTCATATTCCGATTCGGGCTGCTTAGGCCAACCAAGAACGCTCGCATCACACATTTCCAACTACGCCTATCGTGTGCTGTCAACCTGTCGATCGTTCCACTGGCCTCCGTCCGTCCCTCGATGAGCGGAGGTCTGTTCTGTATTTCATGTGCATGCACACCTCTGGGTAAAGCCACATTAATGGTCCACAGGCGCGCATCTGCGTTTGTGCGTGCGATTTCGGAAAACATTCATTCACTATTGGGTGGCCGGAAAACGCTTGAACGTTTCTTGGTTAACCGTGTATACGCTCTTTATTGCGGCATTTCAACGTGTTATTCATGAGATTCGGACCAATTGTGTCAACCGTACTGTAGATATCGACTGCTAACAGAGTGCGCAAGACGATATGTGCAAATGAGTGCCCTTCTACACCGAGCAAGTTAGTTCACAAGATGAACGACTACGACTGGGTACGTTGCGTTGCATTGGGCGCGTGCTGAGCATATTCCGCCGCCGCTTGCTGTGGATGGTCTTGTTTTGTTTCCCTCTTCTCGGAATGCTTTAGACTCGAGGGCATGTGTCCTGGACTTGGCAGCGAAAGCTGGGATTTCCCCCACTAAATTGCTTGATGTTAGTCCGTGTCACTTTTGCGCTGAATTCTCCGGAGGTGTCTTTGCAACTGGCTTGTGATGACTGACGATACGCGACTGTAGCGCGTTTGTTGTCATTCGCTAATCGACTCGCCTCTTTAAAGTGCAAAAGATATTGTGTGACGCATGGCTGAGGTTGCTTACGTCACAGGGATATTGGAAGCTACTAAGAAGCTGTCGCGGTACCACTGACTAACCTTCATTCACGTTCCTGCATTTTTGACACTATGGTGTTGAAAGTTCGTGGACGCTCTGTTTCCGAGTGTTTAAGAGTTTATTTAGTTTCGTCATTATATCCCATTCGTCTCTTATCCCATTTTTCTTTGCTAAAAGTTTCGTCGGCCGGTGGCCGAATGGAGTACCCGCCTCTCTTGTAGTCAGGAGGTCACCGGCTCGGATCAACCTAAGTGCAGGTGACGTCGTGATTAACCCATCCCACGCGTGTTCGGTAGTGGTCAGGTGGCGCCGAAGCGTCGGTCCAGTGTGCAGGCGTCTCGCTGACGTCTTTCTTTATGTAGACTTACTTCGCTATGTCTTCTGCATATCACTTCGGATTACCGGAATTCGGTCGACTTTTAGTTGTAATCTTTGCTTAACGCTTTTCCTCAGCTTTCCTAATTTCCCTTCCTCCTTCTTGCCCTTGACTCTTGCTTTATGTTAACAAACAGGTGGCGGGCTCGTCTGCCCGTTCTTTTCGGGATCTGCGGTGTCTATGGAGAAGCTTCCACTGTATCTGCTGCTGCTTGGGCCCAACTGGTCAGGTTGCTTTGACGCATTGGAACACGGCGCTCGTTACTCCAATTCGGGATGGTGCATCTTAACCAGCCTTGTGTGTAGTCTCTACTCCACTACTCATGGGGCAGCTGTAGCTCCTCAGTTACTTCTGGAAGGAACGAAAATTCTTTCATCGTATCACTGGCTCCGTGTAATGAGGAGTTTAGCTCAGGTTGGTCAGGCTCATTTTTCACTGTTTGCACCTCACCGCTTCCTTTTCTGGGAATCTCAATTTATGTTCTTTTGTCTCTTTCCCTTTTGAACCGTCGGTATTTTTAATCTTCCTCTCGTTGCGACACGCGCGTGACCTTTGTGCTGGTTCGTTTGATGAAGTGCCTTTTTTCGCTATCAAGCAGACCTTACATCCATTTTTTCATCGAATTTTCTTTCATCACGAACCCTTCTGGTCAGAGCGATTAGAAACGAGTACCTTTTCGTTGCAAACGGCAGGTTCCGCTACATATATGTTTAAAAATTACGCAGTCCTGTTCATTGTTAAACATATCCCAACGTTTCTCGGCTGAACTTCCACTGCCTACATGGTAGGTAATCCCCCCCTGGTTTTATTACAGTAGTGGCGCCTGGGTACCATGTCAACTTTGCTTTAGCGCTACGTTGATATCGTCAAGCGTGTGCGCTTCATGAAATGTGCACGTATTCACTTTCCTTAGTTACTCCCATTGGATTGCGCCTACCACTGTTGACCTTTTTCGGGATAAATGAGAACTTTTCGAACTCCGTCATATATCATTTTGGCAGGCTAATCTAACTGCGTTCCACTGTACACGCACAGTAGTTCATGAACCATGTTTGACCCCTTCAGTGAATCGTTATCCTTCCGGATTCGGCATTTGTTGCTCGTTTGGTGTCAAATGGCTCCATCGACTTTAGCCACACTCAATGACCTTTTCAGAATACCTGCATCGAACGTCCATTGTGACCCGCGATTGTTTTCTCCTTCAGAGCCACAGCTGCCGTACTTTTCGACTGTTCCTCACTCATGCGATCTCAAGGCAGCGGCACCTTTGCTATAGGGTGTTCGTTTGTTTTCCGAGCTGAAAAGATTTTATCATTAAATTAAGTTACCTAGCCTGGGGACGAAACGTTTTGCCGTCAGGCTGTCCATCATGGGGACGAAGCGAAGACGTTTATCCGCATCCTGATCCACAAATATTCTCCATAGTTGCCAGCGGCTTGCTACGTGGCCACTTTTGAGCAGCTGCAGACCAGCTCCACCACTTGAGTGACGAACTTTGACCGACAATCTTCGAGACCAAACGGGTGTTTGTTTATGTTGCCTCCTTACTGAGTTCGAAATCGCTATTACTAATGCATGCTATATCCAATCTGCGCACCATCTTATTGTACACATTTCTGAGGACATCATGGATTGCATCAACAATTGTGCCATGATTTGACGCCGCGTGTGACAGCCGCCAGTGCGTATTCATGTGCGCTCACGCTACTCATTAGACAAGGGGTGTCCTCTAAGCGACTCTGTCGCCACGCCATTCGAACGGGTCTATGGCAACAGATGGACGTACCCCATAGATGCTCTTCTGTAAGCATCTTGATCGCTTTTTTCACCATGATTATATTATGCTTAACATCCGCTTTGGTGACAAACACGCAAGGTATCCCCATCACAGGCCGATTTCTGCTTCATGTAGTGTGTGTTATCCAATGCGCTATGTGGTTTTCGTAACGGAAACCACCGGATCACCGTTGGCGCAGTGAACATCGCTTTCGTCGATGTTGCATCCGAGGTTTGTGTTTGTTCCAATTTGATACTCTTGTGGTTGCTTGTCTTCTCATTTTCTGACCATCTTTGCGCCCCACAACCCACTCTCCATATAACGTTCGGAACTCTCATCTTCCCCAGGCGCTTTGTACCTTCAGGGTGCTAAACATACTTCGCATACATTCAGTCTTGCTATGATTCTGACGGGTTGAAATCAAAGGACGCTTTTGACGCTTCAATCGTGGACGCTGGATGAATTCATCGCATAGACAACAAACCATTACATGGAACTAGTCACCTTAGAGATCCTGGTTCACCTTTATTGGTCGCCGCTCGTAGCACCTTTCCCTACTCAAACGACCTGCTGATCTTCCACTTTTTGTCGCTACTTCCATGCCAGCACCCACTGTTTGCGTTGCGAATGACTGTTTGAATTGCATGTGTAAATGTCACACGGAGAGCTTACATGTGAGCTTGCTCTACTCGTGGCTTTGAAACGTGGTCCGTTTTATCTGAAGAGTGGAATGTGACCTGGGTGTGGGCACCCTTACCTCTTAGCCTTTCTCATTCCCCGGTCCTCGTTGCTTTCGTGGCGCCGATTGCGCAATAGACGTGTGTATGTAAATCGTTTTCGCGTTCGCTTCAGTCTTCGTAGGTAGAGCCCTCAGAACTGTATTAGCTGTCCCACTGCTGTCCCTAGTGAGCTTAGGGTTGTGCTGTATCCGCGTTGGGTGGGATGATGGGGCTGTGAGCTGGGGCTCTTTACACCGAAACTAGCCTATATGTCCTAGTTCAAAGCCATCCTCCACAAATTATGAACCTAGTCACATTTGAAATCCGTTCAGCTCAAATGTTTCCTTGTGTTATCACCAAGCAGTTTGTATGGGCACATCTCAATTTATGCGCTTATGTCGTAGTTATGTGTGGTTTTGTCTCGCTCTCTGTTCACATGCTGACTGTTTAATGCTTTTCAGCTCACCGCAACTCGCAGAACTTGATAAAAACGTTGTGCGCCATGCCCTAACTATCTTGATATCAGTGCTATGAGAATTTTGTTCCCGACTTTTCTACTTTTTTACATACTACTGTTTGGAAGCTTGCGCTTGTGTTTTCTAGCGCTATGTCTATATTGATATCGGCGCAATGGATATCGGTTATTTAAATCTTCCGATACCTGCACTTCTTTTTAGTGATCTCGTGTGTATTATTTCATGCTTCTTTTAGATACCGTTTGCATTTTCCATATAATTTCGTTTTAGAGTTCTCTTCTCTGTCTTTACGACACGGGTCACCCTAATCGGGTACTGTGTAGCCCTCCGGAGCAATCCACCTTGGATCGACGCACAAGGTTCGTCTCATCTCATTCATGCTGTTTGGTCTTTGTCAATTCTCTCTCATCGGCTGATTGTTAGTCACTGGTGCCATATCTGGTCTTGTCTCGAGATACAATAGCTTCAAGCATCTTCGTTGCACCAGACCGTGCTCCCACTTAACAAAATAGCGTTTTATATTTGGCAATGAGTTGACTGACCTTGCTCATAGCGCTGCGGGACTACTGTTACCAGTAGCCACGATCACATCACGGAGCTACGAATGAACAACACCTGCTAACTGCAACACTCATTGAGGCAACCGGCGCTCGAGATCTAGAGATGAGTACTTTTTCGGTCGACCCTGCGCATCCACTTTTGTCCTTTTGTGTGAACATGTCATTATGTAATCATTAGCGGGACTGGTCTCCGTTTTATTGTCGATACTTGTTTATGCGTGGAGTGTGAACTAGTTCGATCTCACGGCCAGTTACCATTCCCTTTCGTTTATGCTACCCTGGCAGATAAAACCCGGTTGAGGTTGACACCGGGCGCCGTATGCCTCCAATAGGAACACCTCAACTTATCATCTGAGGTGAACAATGTATACTGTGGAATTTTGTGAGTAGTGTAATTTTAGTAGAAAGTAGAAGCCACGATTAAACTTCACAGAATAATCTGCTCCAGTCTCGTGGGACCGGGGTTCGATTCCCCGTCGAGGCAGATTATTGTGTGAAGTTTAATCGTGGCTTCTACTTTCTACTAAAATGTATACTGTATTGTTGGAGCGTAGAAATTTAAATTTATACAACCATCAGAGTATAATGAAAATTGCTGGAAAAAGTATCTCCCACTCGTGCTTATCTAATCCTTCTTCAAGTTCGTATGTAACATTAAAATGTCTGGCTTACAGTATAATTGGGCTCACAAATGTAAGATTTCATTGCCAATGTGCAATCTTCCTCTCAGTCGAATACTGGTGGAATGTAAATCCAGCAAGGTTTTATACTGATACACCGGTTGGACCTCCACGACTTTTCCTGGCAGACTGTTCCAAACACTTATCACTCTCTGTTTGAAGCACAGGGGGTGAAGAACTCACTTCATATCCGGCACCACGAGCTTGTACCGATGTCCGTGTGTGTTATATGACGTTCGCAAGTGAAGCAGCAACATCAGTGGATTTAACTCACCATGATGTCATATACCGTAGGTCGCGATGAGATCGACTTGCAGTCGACGATGGGACAAGGTATAGAGTCCTAGTTTCTCGCAGCGGTCTTTGTACAGCAATCCTAGTGAACTCGGAAGAAGTATGGTAGCGACGTGTTGGACCCGTTCGATCTTTTGTGCCTCGCCTCGCGTGCTCAGGCAATAGGTGGGCGAGCCGTGCTGTAATATTGATTTTATGATGGAAAAGAAGAGGCGAGTGGCTACCACTTCAGATCAAGTGCAGAAGCTGCGTTTGAGCGCCTAAACCACGCACAGTCCGTTACGCTATAGCCTGTTCGTGTCGTCCATAGGCTTCACATTACAGCGCGAGAGTACCTCTAGGTACTTCATGGACGATTTGAGATATAGCGGTTGGCCGTCTAGGATGTAAGTTCGGCCGTCACCACTCCTTCCCAGGTTCACGAATACCGACTTGCTTGGGTGTACCGGGAGGCGGCCTTCCGCAGATCACACGGAGAGGCGATTGAGGTCTTGATGAAGTTGGCTGTGGTCGTCTGGGGTGTTAATCGCTCCTTAAATCTTCAGGTTACCTGCAAGTGGGGCACACAGCGACTGAAGAAGCTGAGATAGATCATTGATATGCATTAAGAACAGAGTGGGCCCCGTCACTGTGCCTCGGGGTGCTCCACTAGTAGAGGCTTACTAGTCGGTTAGATGGTCACCGGCCTTTACCCTCCACTTTCGTTCGGCAAGGAAGTCCTGGATCCACTGGTATAGTGACCCACCAATGCAGCAGATCCTCAGCCTGTCGAGAAGGACCTCATGATTTACCTACTTAAACGCTTTTCTAAAATTGATGTAGGTTACATTAACAGACTTACCCTGGTTCACTGTCTGCAACGAGTCGTGCTTCGTCACCAGATGGTTGGTAATGCATGCGCGGCGTGGCATAAAATCGTGCTGTGCGAGTGTCAGTACATCTTTTGACTGCGGTATCTGTAGTAGACCCTTTTCACGGTCTTCTCAGCAACCTTGGCCAACATAGATGTCAGACAAATCGGCCTGTAGTTGTTCCCTTTTTCTGGGATCTCCGATTTTTGGCTTTTCCAATCAATCGGCAAGGAACCGGATAGCGACCTGTTGAAGAACTCAGCCAAGGCAAGTGAGATGGCCGATGGCGACTTGAGAATCAGTTGGTGGAGTCCGTTAGGCCAGCAGGTTTTCTGCCGTCAAGGTTGGCGAGTAACTGACGCACCTCTTCCGCAACGTCAACCGGACTATCAAGTTTGGTAAGCGTGGTAACTGTCGAACTATGTACAGACACTAGGTCATTTGCAAACACCGAAGCGAAGTGCGCCGCCAGCGCGGACGCACGCTCAGTGCTATGACATAGTCGCTTGTTGCAGTGACTGAAACGTTATTGCTGTGTGACAGTTTCGAGTTGGTATGTGGTGATCTAGTAATTTGCTCCGATCAGTGCAATTGGGCTATTTAGAACCTAGTTACGTGATCGTACTTGTCGTGTAACCCTCTGGGAATGAAAAACAAAGTGAGAGCAGCGGTCACGAGATTTTTATTAAGAAGATTCGAGGACATTTGGGGTGTACGTAACCGAAATCCGCTCTGCTGCTGTGGTCCGTTTCACTGTCTTTCTCTCCTTAATTGACCTGTTTCCTTTGCTACATTCCATTGATTCACGCTCGCTGTCCACGCCTACTGTGTCAACGGTTACAATGGGCTGCGTTGCTGCCCCTCCGGATAGACTGCACGATCGGTTCTCATAGGTTACATCTGATTAGCCACTCATCCTCTTGATTGAAGCTCCCTCAGCTGACCAGCTGCTACAGTGGACTTGGACTTCGACGTATGCCATCTGATCGCCACTCGACGAACCAATCCGCTTCTGAGCTGTTCGAATGCATGTCGTCTCTACTTTTCACTGGGCCGAACCCGTCGTGCCCGCCCATCTCTCGCTCTTGACCTCTGATTGGCTCCTGGTCCATCGGTACCGCAACGATTTCATTCGTCACAGGTCTCAGCCACCATCACAGTACTCAGTAATAACTCACAACTCTGTTGGCCTTGATAAGTGGTGAATGCATATGGTGACCACAGAGTGGTTACTGTTCATGGTGCGTGGAAGTGGACCTCTGAATGCAGGTTAACTGCACGAGTGAACTTGCTGGTCTGCAGCTAATCGGTTACTGGCACGGAGTCCGCCTAAGTTAGAGGAATCGCACTGTGCGTCGATACAATGATCGTCTGGCCTATTTGTTCGTGTGCTTGCTGGGCGCGGTAATTCGTTCGAAGAGGCCCAGTCACCAATTGAGGTCCCAGATAGTGCAAAGTCCACCGTAGCGTATTTTGTGAAACCCAATTCTGCATTCATTTGGGTGTCATCATTCATCAACGTCATGGAGTCCTCTTTCCAAGCGGAGCATTGGTGGCTGAATGACAGTTTAGTTCCATCGTACATGTCAAGAACGCTGGAAGCGATTGGCTTGATGACCTGCAATGAGCCAGCACACAAACCGGAGATAAGGATTGCGGTTCACCTTTAGTAGGTCGACCATTACTCGCTGACTTGGCCGCATGGCAACCGCGTGAACCGGTGCTCTGGTACATGATACCGATACATTGCTAGTATTAATGGTGATTGTTGATATCAAAGATAACTGACGGCAATCCGATAGATGGTGTTCATCATCCAGTCGCCTCTGAATTGTTGCATTCAGCATTACAACCACCTCGTTTGTGTACTGTGGTGAACCACAGATCCTCATCTCTTCAATCACACAAATGCAACACACACTGCTAATGTGGTAGTGGGCGTATAAAACACAAGGGTCATCTGCATCCCTTGACAACTCAAAGTCCAACTGACGCCTGATCGGTCTTGAAAAACGTTTGTCGTATATGTGTCAGGCTACTCTCTGCTAAATCTGACTGGCAAACCTTTCCTGCATGACACATAGGCGATATCAGCGAAGTATGAACGGACTACTGACAAGCGTCTGTGTTGATGGCGGTGGTGCTAAAGTGGATTCCAGTGTTTAAATTTGCAGTACATTCATCTTATTGGCTCTAGCATGGGGAACATTTCCAAGGGCAGTATTGAAAGTTGCTTTCAACGGGAAATCTATCTGCAAGTACATTGTAGACCTCTTTCCAGGACCTCATCGGTACAAAACGGGGAAAACGACAAAATCCCGTGTGTGATACAGTATGTGTGTGCAATAGATTGGTAAACAGGATTAAACTCATCAGCCTGATAAGCTTGCAACCATCAGCCTGGTATTTGACAATATTCTACACTAGGATAAAATGAATAGAGGTCGAAGTATTTCACTGTACCTATGCCTCTAACCTACCAAGGCTTCTTCGCGGTCTTTGCCTTATAGGCTTTAAGAGAACACCATGCGCAACTTGAATAGAAGTATGCGGTGTCAAGTCGTTTTTAAAATCCCACCTATTCTCAGCAACGATACAGTGCGGTTCACGGTATGTTCATATACTAAATCAACAGCTCCGAGGTGAATGTTAGCCAACTACTCCTTACACCATGTCTTTTTCTCTCTCGTCTGCGTCTTCATGTTGCTCTCTATATTGCTTACAGATCTCAATGGCGCATGTGCAACCCATCCCACACGTTCAGTCTTTTGGCCCTATGCTGTTGTAACCTTACCGACTCACTCCGCGAACCAGGCTACGGGAGCACGAGCAGTCCGATGCCCGAACAGATTACTGTGATGCCAAACGTACGGCATTCTCCGTCCATTGAGCACGCATTTGAACCTCTCGGTGGAATCACTTTAGTCGTCTTCTTACTTGGCCAAGTGAGCTTCCGTGCCCCACTGACCTTCCGACTTGTTTGCTTTATTCTTATCGTCCATTTACTGAGGTGAGGCCAACTTCACTGAATATGGCAGATACTTTCGTCACCTACTTCTCAAGTGATCCCTAAGTTTTCATGTCGCTTCATCCTTCACCATGAGTGCACATCTCAAAACTTTAGGAATCTGAGTATGAAATGAGGTTGTCTTAGTTTCAGCCAACATTTTTGTGCTTCTTTCAAAAAGAATTTTAGAGTAATGTCTCGTTTTACTCAGTCTTCCACGGACTAACCTCTTGAGTGTAGTGGAAATATTTACCACTTAATTGCCAGTCTTATTAAGAAACCCAGTGAGCATTTATTGTGCACACCGCCACCTCCCTCTCTACGTGGACCGCATACGTTTCGTCCACCTTCAAAGTTTTGTGCGAAAATCGGAAGTGAAACAGAGCATGACAGGACAGGCACTCGTCACACACCTGAGACACCTAATAGCGTCGTGATCACTGTGGCTAATTCATCTATGCTTTCTAACTGACTCAAGAATGTTTGTGTTGTGTCGGAACCCGGCGACTGCTTCCACCCACTAAAGCTAGTGAGAACACGTAGGATCAGGGACAGAGATCCAAGGATCCTTTACATAGGGAAACCAGTCCTTTATATAGCATAACGCACAAACATGAAAGCCAACCAGGGTGCGGAAAGGATGCGGACAATTAGAGCCAATAAGAACGGAACAAATGAGGAACCAATCAAATGCGCACAAAGGACGTAAGGTGAGAGTGATAGCGTCAAGGTATGCCTGCGATCTGAAGACAAAAACAACGACTACAAATAGCCAATAGGGATGACGAAATGATGCGTTAAAACAAACATCGGTGAACCTCCATGGTAGAAAGAAAGTCTGCAGTCATGAACAGCTACAGATGCATACCTGTATTTTACTTTCACCTCCAACAGTTTGTCGTGAGGCGGCCAACCTTACTGCATGCAGCCCATCTTCGCCATTACTGCAGCCAACCTTCAGGGTGCTTACTCTGTCTAACCGTACAGACTGTGATACTTATCTTCAATGGATCTGTTTCTGTCCAGTTCAGTCAGTTAACTATGCTCGGTGAAACAGGGTGTGGTAGATCCACTTGTTTTAACTGGAATCGGTAGTCATCCAGCAACATTACTATTTCGACAGTTGGTCAAAAGCGAGCTGTTTGTCTTTGTGGCGATCATTTATACAGCATTTGTCTTCCCTCTTTAACAGACATCCCGGCCTTATGTTCAATGTGCCCCTTCCTTGGCACTCCCAGGGTACACGGTTCTTAGCATTCTTTGTCCGTGCTTGTCTAAAGACTAATTCTCTATGCTGATAGTCGGAGTTCACAGCTGTATCTTTTCCTCTCCTTGGCCTTTCGGTATCCTAGGTGTGGTCGTCGCGTTGTCAGTATCGATTTGTGCAATTCGCCAAATGATTGCACTGCAATCCGCTTCACACCACCTTTTGGGCTGTCACTCGCTATAACAGGTCTTGTGTGACAATGTCGGGTCCCAGCTGGACAGTAATGTCATCAGCCGTACCATGGTTTCCCAATCACTCGTCTCAGCAGGCTGCTTACTACTTATTCGACTAGAATTGGGTTATGGTCACTAGATCCCCTAATCTGTTTACTTTGTATCTCTCACTCTTCCACATGCTGATAGCGCTTTGTTTGCACACCTTGAACAATGAACAATGAATGGGATTTGATTCGGGATTTGATTCCCCACCCCTGTACACACACCTTTTGAATAAATAAAAGGGACTACATCTCCGTTGTTGAGTGCACGCTGCTCCAGTCACAACAGCAAAATTCTGCGTACTGCTCTCCTCTCCGAATTGATAGTCATATTATTCAACCCAATATGCTAGTGACGCTATCACTGGGACTTTATCTCCGTGACTTTTGCGGCCAATAATCCCTATTGCTCATCCAGCGATCAAAAACATTGTGTGGATCACGATAAAAATCTTTTATACATGTGATATCTTTATAGTGTCCACAATTATGAACCAATATTTTATTATTGCTTTTCCTTAACCCGTATCACACTGTGCAAAGTCAGCTGGCGATTTTCGACGCGCGCAATCGGGTCAGCTCGCGGCTATCGATGCCTGGGGTCATTATAACTTACCCGTCTCATCTTCTAGCCACGATCTGTTTTATTGAATAGTAAGGCGATTTATTTGGTTTTGGTGAAGTTTCGCCGCAGCTAGACTCAGGTAAGCAGCCACCACATACACAGGAAAGCGCTCTGAAGCCAGCCCTGTCCTTAGCAAGTTCATAACATGCATGCCGGTGCAGGATGAGCCGCGCTATATCGTAGTTAGACATCAGTCATGGCGGTCCGCTGCCGTCTTCCATGGCTCAATGACATCGGTCGTGAGTTCGAATCCGGCAGGATTCAGCGAGTGCGCACAACTGGCGAGTCACAATAGGACGAAACGGCCGTCAAGGGCTTTCCTGGATGTGTGGTGGCTGTCTGTCTGGGTCTAGCTGCGACGAAACTCCACCAAAACCATCTGTTCTGTCGGCTCTGCTAGAGTACAGAGTAAGCCAATCCCCTGGTAAGGAAGAACGAGCAGGGCGAGTACGTGGTAAACACGGCAATTGATTCCACACCAAAACGTGAACCGGAAGTGTGTTAAGTTACACTGTACAGTCTGCGCTGGTTGTCGTTCGACCGCTCATGGGAGTTGATTTCAAATCAACACTAACCTGTTAATCGATATCTTCCCGGTGCATTAAAATGTGACAATCGGCGTCAGCAGGCTTTGCTCTTGAGCACAGCTCGTTCGGGTTTTCGAGGCAGGTGATTGGGTGACCACGATTCACGTGCCTCATTGGCCTGTGCTCGAGAAACCGTACCCTTCCAGCATTTTTATCTTTGGCTTGTTCGGTGTAAAATCGTCTTGGGTTAGTCTGGAACGGAGTTACTGGCTTCCGTATTCGGCTGGATTTCCGTCTGGACTGGGGTGTGGTACCTGTTGTTGGCGCCAGGTTACAAGCCGTTCTGACCTCACTAGGCCTTCCCATCTCGAACGCCTCCAAAAGATAACAGTTAGAGATCGGTCGTCAATCTTTTTGATCACCACAAAACGTTCGACAGAGTTGGTTAGCGTGGTGCCTCCACAGCAATGGACCCACCTGGACCTCGTACAGAACAAGCCCTATACGCCTTTTGATGTTGCCCACAGCCCACTTTTGATGATCACAGTGATAGTCCCTGACTAGAACACGATCTCCTGGTTACAGCATATGTTTTTCTTGCGTTACGATCGACGGCCGCCTCGAAACTGTTCGGGTAACATCATGTACTAGACGTAACTTCCAGTTCATCAGAACTTCGCCGTGGGAACAGCTGTTCGGACTTTGCGGATTTGCAGATGTTCGGTAGTTCGGTAGGAATATATCTAGTATTTCCGCAGTCAATCCCTCCTCCAGGATTTCAGTAGGGCACGTTTAAATGTGCCGATAAATTTCTCGATCTGCCCGTTTGATTGTGGATGGAAGAGGTGCTTTGATATGAATGATCCCGTACCTTTTTGTAAAGCGAACTGTTCTTTTCCGTTGTACCGGTGTTTCCGTTTCCATATTATCTTCCACCACTGTCAGGTTTTCCGCCTTGGACTGCAGTGGCAATCAGCTCGTTCTGCCTACGCTACACCCTTACTTTATACCACGTTGTCTTCTTGGCTGCACTCGATTCTACCAGAGGACGTTATTCTCGAAACTCGCTTCATAACCTCTTTTCCCTACGGTGTGCAAGCACTCCTCCCCTCCAACACGCTACAATTTTAGGCATTTGTTCTACTCATATTTCGTCTCCACACACTAGAAGGGAAAGATATTGGTCCACCGACGCCATACCATTTTGTCACAGCAATCTCTTACCCGCACGGTCTTGTAAGCAAGTGATCATAGACTTCTGGAGTTGTAGTTAAACATTAGCTGTCTATAGCAACTTTTGTGCCGCGATTGAGTAGCCGTTGAGCTTGGCTTGTCCCAATTTCGTCGGACGACGTGTTTGTCTGCCCAACCGGCACGCTATATGGTTCCTCGCTAGTCATCTTGGTAAACGATTTTCTTGTTCTTTTGACAAACTTCGAGACAGCATTCCATCTCGGTTTTAGCATCTAGGTGTACAACCTTCTGTGACGAATCCATGTCATACTGCACTCTACTCCTATTCAGTGTTTCTCTTGCAGTGTAATGGTGGCTATTCATCAAACAGGTTGTCAAGTCACTGGTTATCCTTGAATCAATGCTGTTGCAAAAACGCACTGTTGCCATTCATGATCTTCCAGCTGCTCCGTTGTGTGCTCTTGTCTCTGTTACTCATTTTCACTACCAACCGAGCTAATGTTGGTCGACCGACAGCGACTAAAGAAGAACCGGCCTTCACAACATTCATCAAATCTTGTGACTATTCATGTAAGAACCGGTTCTGCATCATGGTCACAGAGTCTCCAGGTTTCTACTATCTGCCTCATATCATCGCTGATGCCGTAACTGAACGTGGTCAGCTGATACGTCCAATTGCGAAGTCCATCCACTTTGATTGTATGGGTCATGTCGAAGTACACACGATGCACAGTCTTAACGAGAACCACGATTCGCAATCCGGGACCGTGACCGAAGCAGATGACTATTCAGTAGAGCAACGAGACTATACCTTAACGTGGTTTGACGGTTTGCGCACGTTTTTGACCCATTGAGCTGTACTGCGTGGTGTCCCCGATCACCTTGAGAGTTACTATTATCAGGTTGGTCAATGGTTATAGGTCAGACATACTCAATCTCCTGATCCTCCAGGTTGGGGGGTTTGAAATGCGATGGCGTCCATTTCTGTAAAACTAACTCATTGCCACCTCCCCGCTGTCCTGCGAACAGGCTTTTGAGCCAAAGGCTTTGGAGGAGGACCC